AGAGGAGGGACAGTTGGTATACTGGTTTGGACGTGTCCAGAGGAGGGACAGTTGGTATACTGGTTTGGACATGTCCAGAGGAGGGACAGTTAATATACTGGTTTGGACGTGTCAAGAGGAGGGACTGTTGGTATACTGGTTTGGATATGTCCAGAGGAGGGACAGTTGTTATACTGGTTTGGACGTGTCCAGAGGAGGGACAGTTGTTATACTGGTTTGGACATGTCCAGAGGAGGGACAGTTGGTATACTGGTTTGGACGTGTCCAGAGGAGGGACAGTTGGTATACTGGTTTGGACGTGTCCAGAGGAGGGACAATTGGTATACTGGTTTGGACGTGTCCAGAGGAGGGACAGTTGGTATACTGGTTTGGATATGTCCAGAGGAGGGACAGTTGGTATACTGGTTTGGACGTGTCCAGAGGAGGGACTGTTGGTATTTTGGTTGAAGGATATTAGACATGCAGTTAGAGAGGACATGGAGGTAGATGGAGCGAGTACAGAAGACTGTGGAGGCCCCTGAAGAGGGAACAGCAGAAAGACAAAGAAGAATTAAACCAAGGGGAGTGTTCAGGCTGTTGATAGAGACAAACTTCTAAGGCATTCATTCCCAAAGCTGTGGTCCTGACCTACAGTGGGGTCATTAGTGATGTTTTATGGGTCATCAAATTGATTTCTTCAAAACGTTTCTCTTTATCAAGAATCACGCAGTTCATCATTAAACCACACGAGGGGGCCAGTCACTGTTTTCACTGAGGTCATAGTACACATGTTGAAACTGTCAATTAAAGAAATGGATGTTTAGTTAATAAAAAGAGACAGGGGGGAAATGGACACCACGGAGAATAAAGATCAAAGCAAACTGAAAACTGTAAGTCTGCTAAAAAAATCGACAACAAAAGAATACAGAAAACATTAACAAAACTGGAGAAACACAATTCTAACACTTTACTCAGTTTATCATCAACTGAATACATTTACTTTTATTTACATAATATAACACAGATATCATTGTTAATCTGCCGTATTAAGAAATATTTTGTTTAAATACCTTCAACGTGTCTACATTGTTTCCAAGAAGCTCATTCAAATTTAAGTACAATTTTGAGGTTATCTGTCAATAAACCAATGTGACACTTAAAACAGTGTAAAATACATATAAAATAAGTCTCTTAAAAGGCACATTTTTCTGTTCAAGAAGTAAATAAACTCAATTTGAATCATTTTTAAAACATGGGTCACCTGACAAAACTGGTTTGAAAAACAGGAACATTTAACTAAACATTAGTGGGAGCATTGATATGTGTTACTGGATTGGGCGTTGCTACATTGACGTGCACGCACTGGTGCTCTGTTCTGCGTTGAGGAGCCTCGACAAAATGAATGGAGGTCAATGGACTGTGAGGCGTCATCCTGATGAAAAACTCTTATAACTTCCTTATTTCTTGCTTGATTATTTTTACAAACTATGGTTCAAAATAAAGCTGAGGAAATTGTGAATTTTATAGTTATGGAAATTTAAAATAACTAATTTAAATGACTCAAACAATGGCTTCAAATAAGTGTTTTGTGTTTCACAGATGTGTTTTCACATTGAGTTCTGACCAGCTGGATATTCATGCATATATTTATTAATCAGAACTGAGTCTTAGACATTTAAAATAATAAAATTAATCTTTCAAGTGTAAGTGTGTGTGTGTGTGTGTGTGTGTGTGTGTGTGTATGTGTATACTGTATATAATATATTTTCTTCCTGTGTGTTTACATATGTATGTATGTGTGTGTTTAGCAAATATTTCTTGAATAAAACAACTATAGAAGTTTTTGCTGTAAACTACAATAATTTTAACTTCAGTAAAAACAAACAAAAAAACAAGTGTTTCAGGTCACAAAGAATTGTTTAATCAATTTATTTTTATCACAAAGAATTATGCTTCAGTTTCACAATGATGCAGGCTGTATCTGAAGCCGACCCACAGCTGACACACTTTTTCTTTCTCCTTTTTCTTTGGAAATGTTGAAAAACACAAATACTGGATGTAGAAAATATCTGAATAAACCGGCCTGTCTGACACTTAATTTGTTTATGATGCTCAATCATTACATTAGCGTCTGTCATATTACATTAG